GGGAATGGAGGTTTGACTTTGAGCCTTTGCCAGCAAACTGACAGACTATCACTTATTAACCTGGCACCCAGGTTGATATGTACCTTGTCTTCAACAATTGTGATAAATGATACATTGATTTACTTTTTACTTCTTGCCAGCAGTGGTAAAGTGATCAGTAGGTTTGACATGATGTGTTTCTACCAGAGAGAGAGAGAGAGAGACTGTACTTCTGCAATCTAGTCATTTTCAATGGGACAAAATTCACTTAGTCTGTCATTTCCTGATTGAGAAATAGACAACGAAGGAATGTTGGACTGTCACTGAAACACAATACCGATGTCAATAAGCATTTCTGTCGATGTTCTCTCGCTGAAATCTTGTTGGCATATTCTATTCCTTTGCAGAAGCTGAGTGGTAAAAAAAAAAAAAAAAAAAAAAAAAAAAACCTCAAATGTTAAAATTATAATGCCATTGTCATTAGCCAGGAAAAGATAATGGCAGAGGAAAAGGAGAGACCTTGTAGAGCTTACAATCTTGGCGGTTGGGGGCTGTATGGTTTGGGGAGGGGCTTCCAAGGAGTCTGCTTGCACTGGCTATCCTCAGCCCCAGTGTACCAGGTATGGAAGGTGGCCTGGAGGTTTCCACCCACACTGGACTTTCTCTATTCCATGAATACATTCTCTGTCCTCCCACCTTGGGGCCTTTCCACACCTGCTTTTTCTCCTGGGAATGCTCTATCCACTGACCATTCCTTAATCCTTGCTCATCCTTCGGATCTCGGCTTGGAGGAAGGCTTCCTCAGCCTTCTAGGCTGAATTTAGTCCTATGTTCTTTTCCTTCATTGGGGTCACACTCTCTCATTGCTTACAATTTTATATTTGTGTGACTAACTATAAGCTCCATGGGGGCAGTAACCAGGCCTGGTTTTAGGCACCACTGTATGTCCAGGCTTTGGCTTAGCACCTGATACACAGTAGATGCTCAAGAAATATCTGTTGACTTCCCAATAGGTGAACTGAGCAACCTCTGCTTAAGCCAGTGCTGCTGCTACAACATGAGATCACAGGAGTCTTATTTCCTCCTGTCTGGATGATTTGTGCCAACAAAACACAATTTTGGTTGCACACTGAACTGGTGTGAAGCAATGTTGCTCTCAGGCTTCCCAACAACTCTGATTGGCCTAATCTGTGCTTGTTTTATAGTCTCTGGGATTACTGGGTGCCTAGTGAGATGCTGAATGCAGGGAATCATTTATCAGTTTTCTCTGCACATGTGGGCACCTTTAAGAAAGGCTAGGCTGGATGGCAGAGTTGGCAATTAGCCTGGTTTTCACTGAGATGCACATGTCCTATGCCATTCGAGTTCGGATCTGTACTTTCACGTGTGTCCGTAGTTAAGAGCAATTCTGACATCCCTTTGATTCCCACTCCAGTAGCAGTATCAGAATGGGAGTGAGTGAAAAGGACATTACAATAGGAATCACTTCTAATGATGTTAAAAATGCTTCTTAATAAATCAAAATGCAAATGTTAACATATTATTTGTGATATGCCTCATGGTTGATTGTGATTCTAAGTCCACATCATGGGGGAAAGAAAAGCTGGAGACCCCTTACAGAGGAGACTGAGTGCTAGCTGGAAGCCCCGGCTGCTACGCTTGCTCTTCCCTCCCACCCAATCCCCCAGGCACAGGGGCAAGCCCACCAAATGCTCCTCTCCTTCCTTTCCCCTTCCCTTTTTGGATCTGGAATTCAGGACAAAGCACATCTGAATCTGGCATTAATAATCCTGACACACCTTGGAGTGCTCCATTTACTTGGGCCTTTTGACAACTCTATTTTAAAGAAAGACATTCAATTTGTTCAGGTTTTCTTTTCTTTTCTTTTTTTCAGGGTTTTTTGGGGGGAGTGATTTAAGAATCAATTTATTTGTAAAGGTTGGCTCTTTTAATTTTTTGATCAGAATAAGTTCAAGTGCCTCAAAGTAGCTGCCCTGGCACATCTCTGTACTAAGTGTCATTCTCTGGTACAGGAGGGGCTCTGTAAACACCTGCAGAGTTCTTCTGGTCTCTACCTCTTTCTTTCCTCACTTACACCCTCCTGGAAGGATCCTGTGCGCTCGACTTCTCCTATTAGAGGGCCTATTAATTTGCTGGCTCTGTGCCAACCTGCTTACTCCATCCACAACCTAGGTCTAGAGAGCCCGAGAATTCAAATTCTGCCTTCATCCTGGGGAGGAGTGTGTGCCACGGCGGCCCTGCGGCCCTCGCCCTTTGAGAGCCCTGACCTCAGCTTTCCTCTCCTCAGAAATGCCGAAGAAAAGAGATGAAGTTGGCGAAGGTGACCCATTTCTTCCCTAGTGGGCCGACCCGGGCTCTCCGTCCTCCAAGAGCTGTTCGCTTTCCGGAACCGGGTTTTCCTGCGAGAAGGATGTAGGGACCGGAGCACTGTCCTTGGAATCCGGAGACCCGGTTGCAAGGCGGACACCACCCCTTACCAGCTGCGTGGCTTTAGGCAAGTCGCTTTAGCTTTCCTAGTACGGATCACGGAGTGGTTGGCCTGACTTCGTTCCATCACCCCTCTTCAAACAAGAAGAAAAAGAAGAAGGTGGTTACAGGAAGTATCTACAGAGCCGTTTCCAGCAGGGGTTGGGGGGGGGCTCCCACCCAGGACTGGCCCCAGGCGCCCTCCCGGGAGCCCGCGGAGCCTCGCCGCCGCCGGGGGCTGCCCGCGCCCCAGGCTGCCCCCCCGCCCCCGCCCCCGCCCCCGCCCCCCGCGGGCCCGGCCGCGTGCGGCTCCTCAGAGGTGTGAGTTATTAGAAAGCTCCGGATAATTCCAGAGGGTCCGTCTCTCCCACTTAGTCTAATGCGCTTGTCAGACGGGCCAGGCGAGCCCGCCTCTCCTGGGGGGGCCTTCCGGGTCTCACCCCCCGCCCCAGCTCGGCCTCCTGCTTCGGCAAGGGTGGCAGCCGAGCACCGCAGGTCCCCCCTGTGCCAGGGCCGCCCCCGCCTGCGCCCCGGCCTCTGCGCCCTTCCCAGCGCCGCTCGGGCGCCCAGGAGCTCCCCCTCCGGGCGGCGCGGGGCGGCCGCCGACGGGGTTGGCAGCAGCGCCCGGCGCGGGGCGGCCCCGGAGACTCGCCCGCCCATGTGCGTGGAGGGGAGCGAAGCTGCGTGCGTGTGGGTGCCTCACCTCGGAGCCCGCGGGGCCGTAACCCGAGTCCCGCTGCCACGACCCGCATTTGCATAATTTGGCTCCCCCCCGCCACTTCTTTGGGACTCCAGGCTGGAGATGCGAGTCGGGCTCCCCTCCGAGGCGTCGTCTTGCCGGTGGTCAGCGCGGGGGCCGCGGGACCGGCCGGAGCGCAGGCGGAGCGGGCTGGCGCACGTGGTAAGCGAGCGGCGTCTGTTCTTGCTTCTTTCTTTCTTTCTTTTTTTTTTTTTTTTTTTACGAAATGGGACTTTGCACGTTTACGCCGAGGGTGGGGTCTCTACAAGGGCGCTAACGGCCCCGCGATTTCCTTCCTTTCCCTTTTATTTTCACCTCCAAGTGGGAAAGAGCGCGCGATGCGAGCGATAAACTTTCCCCAGTTCTTTTCCTGGGCGTTGGAAGTCAGGAAGGTGGCCGGCCGCCTGACGAGACGACTTCGCGGCGGGCAGGGGCAGGCGCGACGCCGGGGCGGAGGAGCAGAAGCCGCCGGCGGCCTCCCCGCGGGTCCCGACCGCCGCGCGCGCTCGGGGCCGGGAGGGCGCGGGCTGGCGGCGGCGGCGGCGGCGGCGGCGGCGGCGGCAGGTGAGCGGCGCGAGAGCCGCCTGCAGCGCGCGCTTCCTCCACGGCGTGGCGTCGTGGCTCTCGCCCGCCGGGGTCCGCACGAGGCTGCGGCCGTCCCGGGCCGGGGGGCGGGAGGGGGCCGGGCCGGGCCCGGGACGCTGCCCCCGCGCTCTGTCCCAGGTGGTGTTGGTTTCGGGGCGGCGCGGAGCCAGGCGGCGGCGGTGGCGGCGGCGGCGGCGGCGGGCTCGGGCCCCGGCGGGCTCGGGCCCCGGGCCCCGGGACCACCTCCCGCGGGCGGGCCGGGAGGCAGGAGCCGGGCGTGCTGCGAGCCAGGACCCGCCGCCGCCTGGGCCCCCTTAAAGTTTTTAAAAATTCCCTCGGGAACCAAACAGGAAGGTCTCCCTGCGGGACAGTGTGGTTGTGGTTGTGGTCGTGGTCGTGGTCGTGGTCGTGGCTGTTGACGTGTTTACTCCAAGAGGGAAGCGCGGGTGGGGTGATGGCGGCTGGGAATTGAGGTTAGCGACGCGGTCCGCGGGCTCCCCGGGGCGGCCCTCGGCGAGGCCAGGCGGCGAGGCTCTTCCGAGCGTGCGTGTGCGGGGTCGGGCCCGGCTGCGGGCCGGCGCACCCGCCGGGGGCGGGAGCAGGCGGGGCGGGTGTCTCGCGGGGCGCCCGGGCGGCGGGCCGGGCTGTGCGGGCGGGGCGGGCGCCCGCGCGCTGTCAACAGGGAGGTGTGTAGCGTAAGGTGTGCGAGTGGGTGTGTGCGAAGGCCGCGGGGGCGGGAGTGTGTGTGGCGGAAGTGGAGCGCGTGTGAGTGTGCGAGTGTGTGCGCGCGTGTGCGTGGCGGGGCAGGGTGAGTGTCCAAGCCTCCATCTGGACGCCCCCACACAGCCGACCGCCCAGACGCGCCGGGAAGGGCGCCCGCTCCGCGCGGCAGCTGAAGGGGGGCGGGGAGCGCGCGGGCAGAGGAAGGGGGGTGTCTCCGGCTGAGGATTTCTCCCGAAGCTCGCCGCAGTTATTCTGCTCCTCCTAGGGTCTACCCCCCAGCCCCAAGGTGCCCGAAATACTTAAACAAACAAACAACCCCGAACCTGTTCCGTTTTCGCTCCTGTATAAATAGCACAGACTTTCCAAAAAAGCAGTACCGCATTCACTCTTATCACCAGCCACTTCTTTCCACCAAGTAATTCAGAAAAAAACAGTCAGCTTCCGTGAATGCATGCAGCTTTTTTTTTTTTTTTTTTTTTTTTTCTTAGCTGCCTCCTTTTGCTTGCGGTTTTGAGCTGCCAAGAAAGTGAGTAGGGGTTTGACTGTAGTGTCTCGGCTCCGCTCGGTTTCTTTCCGAAGTTTAATTTTCCGGAATGGCTCCCAAACAAGGGCTGGGGAGGCGGGGCCGCCGGCACCGGATCTTCGCCTTTTTTGGAAAGTCCCGGAGAACCGGAATTCCTCCCCGCCCGGGGAGGCCTCGCCGCAGCTAGGACCCGCGAGCTCTTCCCCCCGCGGCCGGAGCCGCCCCCGCGGCGCCCCCGCCCCCCGCTGGGCCCTGCGCCCCGCACGCGGACTGGGGCTCGGGCCGCGCGCCCCGGACCCCCGCGGGTCCCCGCTGTCCGGGAGCTGGGAGTCGCGAGCCCGGCGGAGCCCGCGCTGCCGAGCCCGTATGCAAATCGGCCATGTGACGGCAAGAAGCCGCCTGGCCCAGCCCTGTTCCTCAGTCCATATATGGGCAGCGACGTCACGGGCATTGAGGCCCTGCCCATAAATACTTACAGCAACACTTTCCGTCTAACCGAGAGAGCAGCAATTGATTAATAGCTCGGCGAGGGGACACGCTGACTGTTATAATAACACTACACCAGCAACTCCTGGCTTCCCAGCCGGAACACAGGAGAGAGAGTCAGTGGCAAATAGTCGTTTTTCTTCTTTCTTAGAAAAAAAAAAAAGGCAACTTGTTTGCTAGTTTTATTTGTTGGATTTTTTTTTTTTTTTGTGGTTGCTTTTAAGCGTGGAGGGCAAAAGGAGACACCAACTTAGACTCAGTCCAAATCCTCTCCAAAACGGCTTCTCTGACGCTCCAGGTAGAGAGGGAGTTGGGTCTCCAGGTTGTGCGAGGAGCAAATGATGACCGCCAAGGCCGTAGACAAAATCCCAGTAACTCTCAGTGGTTTTGTGCACCAGCTGTCTGACAACATCTACCCGGTGGAGGACCTCGCCGCCACGTCGGTGACCATCTTCCCCAATGCCGAACTGGGAGGCCCCTTTGACCAGATGAACGGAGTGGCCGGAGGTAAGCCGCAATCCCCTTCGCGGGCCGGGCCCCACGCGGCTCGAAGGTGGTGGGTGGGGTGCGGTGCGTGTGCAGGACTTGGAGGAGCGGGTTGGGGCACGAGGCGGCCGCTGCTGCCCGCACGGGGTGCTCGGGGAGCCGGCGGGAGCAAGGGCCGGCTCGCCGGAGCTGGGCGCGCGGCAGATGCACCGGGTCGTCGGCGAGCGGGCGTGCGTGCGCCGCGGAGCGCCCAGCCCCCGGCGGGCGCGGGGAGGGGAGTGGAGGAGGCGGCCCCCCAGGCTTCGGGCTTGTGCCGGCTGCTCGGCCGGCGGCGGCCGGGCCTCCCCGCTCCCGGGGCAGGGGCAAAGTGATGGGAAAGTTCGGGGCTCCGGAGGAGAGCCGGAGAGCCGAGCGGCGGCGGAGCGCCGGAGGAAAGCGTCCGCCGCTCCCGCCCGGGCAGAGCCGACCCCGGGGAAACCTCCGAGCGCGCTCCGCGAGCGGCCAGAAGGAGCGCCCCCACCTGCGCGCCGCCCGCGAAGTTGAGGGGGTTGGCGAGGCGGGAAGGAGGAGGAGGACGAGGAGGAGGAGGACGAGGAGGACGAGGAGGAGGAGGAGGGCGCACTACGGCGGGAAGCAGCCCCCTGGCTGCCGAAGGAGGCCCGCGGGGGCTCGGGCGCCGCTGGTTGCCTTGGCGATGCGGTGGAAAGTGGTCTCCCGCGGCCCCCGCTCCTTCCTCGAAGATCCGCCGCGGGCCTGGGGCTGGGGCGTGCGGGTGTGGAGCAAGGCTGCGACGGTGGGGAAGGGAAGGAAACCTATAGATTTCTTCCACCGCGGCGCCCCATACCCTCCAGCAGCCGTCAGCTGTAGCGCAGCGGGAGACGGAGGGAGGGAAGGCACCGCGGATGGGTAGCAGCCAGGAAATCACTGATCTCTTTCTCGGGCTCCCCTCTCCGGGCGGCACTGGCTGGGATGATCAGTCTCCTGGCTAGTGTCTGCCCTGGAGCCCCGGCCGTGGGACCCCCCAGACAAAGGAGAGCGAGAGAAGTTCCAGGCAGATGGGGAGTTTTTAATATTGTTGCTATTATTGGGTGTTTTTATTGGGGACGAGAGTCACAGATGGCTGTGTGTGGGGGTTGGGAGTAGCTCATCCTGCTTTCCTGGAGGTAGTTTGAGTCCCAGACTGTCACTGGCTGCCGGTGGGATCCTGGGCTACCCTCTTCTTGCTGTCTCTGGGCTGCAGTCTTCCCACCTGTTGGACTCTGCCCCAGCTCTACTCTGCTAGGATCCTGGGATTTGGGAATGGACCTATGTTTAGAGGGGATGAAAAGGGATTCTTGGCTGCATTCTCATTGCTCCACCTCCATTCTTTCTGTTCCCTCCCCAGATGGCATGATCAACATTGACATGACTGGAGAGAAGAGGTCCTTGGATCTCCCATATCCCAGCAGCTTTGCTCCGGTCTCTGCACCTAGAAACCAGACCTTCACGTACATGGGCAAGTTCTCCATTGACCCCCAGTACCCTGGTGCCAGCTGCTACCCAGAAGGCATCATCAATATTGTGAGTGCAGGCATCCTGCAAGGGGTTACCTCCCCAGCTTCGACCACAGCCTCGTCCAGTGTCACCTCTGCCTCCCCCAACCCACTGGCCACAGGACCCCTGGGGGTGTGCACCATGTCTCAGACCCAGCCTGACCTGGACCACCTCTACTCGCCACCACCACCGCCTCCTCCTTATTCTGGCTGTACAGGAGACCTCTACCAGGACCCCTCGGCGTTCCTGTCGGCAGCCACCACCTCCACCTCCTCCTCTCTGGCCTACCCACCACCTCCTTCCTACCCCTCCCCTAAGCCAGCCACGGACCCCGGTCTGTTTCCCATGATCCCAGACTACCCGGGATTCTTCCCATCACAGTGCCAGAGAGACCTACACGGTACAGCTGGCCCAGACCGCAAACCCTTTCCCTGCCCTCTGGACTCCTTGCGAGTCCCTCCTCCACTCACTCCACTTTCCACCATTCGCAACTTTACCCTGGGGGGGCCCAGTGCTGGGGCCACAGGGCCAGGGCCCAGTGGAGGCAGTGAGGGACCCCGGCTGCCTGGCAGCAGCTCGGCAGCCTCCGCCGCCGCCTATAACCCACACCACCTGCCTCTGCGGCCCATTCTGAGGCCTCGCAAGTACCCCAACAGGCCTAGCAAGACCCCAGTGCATGAGAGGCCCTACCCGTGCCCAGCAGAAGGCTGTGACCGGCGCTTCTCCCGCTCCGATGAGCTGACCCGACACATCCGAATCCACACGGGACACAAGCCCTTCCAGTGTCGGATTTGCATGCGCAACTTCAGCCGCAGTGACCACCTCACTACCCACATCCGCACCCACACTGGCGAGAAGCCCTTTGCCTGTGACTACTGCGGCCGCAAGTTTGCCCGGAGTGATGAGAGGAAGCGCCACACCAAGATCCACCTGAGACAGAAGGAGCGCAAAAGCAGCGCCCCCTCCTCATCCGTGCCAGCTGCCTCTACAGCCTCTTGCCCCGGGGGCTCGCAGGCCGGGGGGCCGCTGTGCAGCAGCAACGGCAGCACCATCGGCGGAGGGTCCCTTGCCCCTTGTTCCTCTCGGACCCGGACACCTTGAGATGAGACTCGGGCTGACACACCAGCTCCTTGAGGCCCGGGAGGCCCTTTGTCCACTGGTCCAGTCGAGCTGCACAACAAACACTACCACCCTTTCCTGTCCCTCTCTTCCTTCCTTGGGCAAAGGGCCCCCTGTCCACTTAGAGGCAGGTCCTTCCTAAAACTCAGCCCACCTTAGTTTCTCTTAGGTGAGTTGACTAGCACCCCAAGGTAATAGGGGAGGCTTAAAAAGGGGTTGGGTGGGGGCCCCTGGCCTAGAGGGCTGAGGCCTGACCCTGCTTTAAAAGGGTTGTTTGACTAGGTTTTGCTTCCCCTTCTCTTGTGTTTTGTCCCAGTACGATTTTTTACTCTGAATGTCAGAGTTGATTTGAGACTTTTTCTACAGTAGGTTGGGAGATGCTGAGCCCTTCAGGTGGGGGCAGCAGAAAGAAGCAAAGCTGATGTGCACTTTATGGCTTGGGACTGATCGGGGAATGGTGTACAGTGAATGAAGCATGGCCTTTATGCTGCATTCTGTGGCCCTAGAACAGTGAATCAAAGCTTGTCTAGTCGTTCCAACCCTCTAAGCAATATGTATTATAAACTCAGAGAATGGAAGTGCAATGTGATGGGAGGGACATAGCAATATCTGCTCCTTTTTGAGTTGTTTGAGAAACTAAAGACTATTTTTTCAGTGTATATCCACTCAGATTTTGTGTATTTTTGATGTGCACTGTTCTCCAAGTTCTGAACCTTTGGGAAAAAAAGTAAAGCATTTATGATCTCTTGAAATGAGTCAGAGGTTAACTTATTTAAAAGGGGATGTACATATATTCTCTGAAACTAGGATGCATGCAGTTGTGTTGGAAGTGTCCTTGGTGCCTTGTGTGATGTAGACAATGTTACAGGGTCTGCATGTAAATGGGTTGCCTTACTATGGAAAAAAAAAATCATTCCCTGGGTTAGTATTGCTGTATATTTCTGCCTATTAATATTTGGATTTTTTTTTAGAAAGTATATTTTTGTATGCTCTGTTTTGTGACTTAAGTGTTACCTTTGTAGTCGAATTGCAGATAAGAATGTAAATAATATTACTGGAGCTGACTTGTTTGGTTATTAGCTCTTAATAGTTGTGGAAATATAAATGATTTATTCTAATGCAAAACCACTAACTGAAGTTCAGATAATGGATGGTTTATGACTATAGTGTAAATAAATACTTTTCAACAATATTTTTGCTGCAGAAATCATTTATGAAAGATTTCCTGGGTGGGAATTCCATAGTCATCCAATGGCTTTTAGTGCTTTGACCAAGCCAGGATCTCCGAGGTTTCTCTGCTGGCCTTTCAAGACCAGTCTGTTCACCCCCAAAGCAATCTCCATTCATAATCAAACTCTAGTGTTCCGGGGATTTCCCCCGTGCATTAGTGTAAAAGTGGGGAGGCGTTGTTTTGACTCATTGTTCCGTCCTCTATAACAGCCTATAGCTTCTCTCGGCTCCTGAGTGGGCTCCGGAAAATAAATACTTACAAACAAGTGCCCACTCGGAGACTACACATTTGTGGCTGCTGTCAGAACCCTGACCAAGGCCAGGAACTCAGACGAGATGTGGCTTTGTGGAAAGTGTGGTGGCGTGGTCAAGCTGGAAATGACTTTTAGGTTCCAGGATTAGTCTCATGACCACAGAAAACTTTTTGAAAAACGCTATCACCTCTTCAGATCAAAAATGCACTCAGACACTGCTGAAGACAGCATTAATGGGTTGTCAAAGGAATTACCCCAGGACTCATTTCTCTCTCGTCTGCTCTCCCTGATTACCCCTATTTGGAAGGATCACTAATCTGCGATTCCTTTGGTGAGTCCAGAGACTATCAAAATACCCCGCTCATTAGATAAGATAGGTACACACCAGCCTCAGAAAATCTCAGAGACATTCTTGGATAGGCAAATTAAATAGGCATATACGGGCTCCGTCATGGTACTGCATAATGGTCTGCAACAGAATACATTATAGGGCTCATTTAACTGCAAGCCTTTTGTAGTGATTTTAAAAATATAAATCCAAAGAAAGGTATCTGCCGGTCATACAGAGTAAACGGGTTGGATCTCTTGTGAAGTTATTTTACTCTAAAATTGGGCCTCAGCATTTAAGTTCATCCATGGCTTCTGGATCCTGGATCCTCACACAAGTGTAACACATCAGATACCCACTGTTCAGCTGCATCGTCTGAAAACGGTCATGTGTGTGTCCTTTGCCACTGTCAGCCTCCTTCATATGTGGTTGATAACCGAAGGCCTGAATTTTAGAACAGCAGACAGTGACAAGCTACTTTTTGCCCTTCAGAGCCCTGGAATTTTTGTGGAGGTAATCAATCCTTTTATTTCTTCTTTCCTATTTCAAAGATATGGAATACCTCTTTCTGTGACTACAAAATAGAAATCCTAAACTTCAGGGCCAGACTTTTCTAGTGACTGGTATTATTCCATTAGATTCATATTTCCTAGTTCGTCAGCATATTATCCACACTTGGCTAATTTTGTAAAAATATGTATAAAAAATGCCACATTTTGATAATTGTTTTTGAGGACTACTCCCCTCCTACCAAAATTTCAGTATATTAAAATATAGTACACCTAAGTTTTATAAGATCTAGAATTGGCTTGCCAGTTTAAATTTCAGAACACCTTTAATCAAGATAATGTAAACAACTGTGTACAAAGCAGGACTTAAAAACGGCTTTTAAGAAGTCATTTTAAAAAGAGTAAGAATATTTTGATAAAATAGTCAAATCTGTTACATAATCATTTTCACCTTGATGTGGGGTTGGTGAAGTGGCATAACATACCATAAGAAACACATCTTGGTGTTTCTTCATAGACAACTTGGTGGCTTTTACTTAACTTTAACATGTTAGGTAAATCTTTAATCAGATTTTACTCTCAGCTTTGAAACATTCAGGGTATTTTAATGCAGGTGTCTAATTTTTTACTTTGCTCAAGAAATTAAGCATATAAAGCTAAGTCTGCTCCTTCTTTCATTCAATATGCTTTATCGAATAATATTTCTGATGGTACAGCTGTTACTAGGGATTCTGATTAAACTTCTGGAGAGTAACTGCTTGAAGATCATAATGCAAAAAACAAAACAAAAAAATCATAATGCATTTGTGATGGTTCACTGCATATTAAAAATAGGTCTATTAAACCTAAGTACGGTTTTCACTTATTCATGAATCAGTGTATTTAAAGATCAACTGTTAATGAAATTAAACCTAAGTGTTTGATATATATTAAAAATGGCTGTAGTGATATTTTAACTGTCACACACACACACACACACACACACACACATGAATGAATGGTCAGCATCATCAAGTACCTAAGATGCTGCCAGTCCAAACTGCAATTAAAGTTTACACAAGGGACACCTGGGTGGCTCAGCAGTTGAGCGTTTGCCTTCAGCTCAGGTCGTGATCCCGCAGTCCCAGGATCGAGTCCCACATAGGGCTCCCCGCAGGGAGCCCGCCTCTCTCTCTCTCACTCTGTGTCTCTCATGAATAAATAAATAAAATATTTTTAAAAAAGTTTACAGAAACAGTAAAGAGAAGAAATATTTAAGTCCAAAGATTCCTTCCTTCACAGACAAAATTATTTTTTGCTTTCTTGCACTAGTGTATTTTCCTTAAGTTAAATATAAAAGGATCTATTTTCTGTTATAGCAAAATATGATTAGACCGTTGTTTCAGATGTGTTTTCAATCAGATTGTTTCAAAGCTGTCTCAAGGAAACAGACTAAATGTATATTATTACTTGGGCTTTAGAACCTGTAGAAAGCCACCGGTTTTCAGTACGACATAATCCTACTGTACAGACTAAAGCTTTAATAGTAATAAAAATGTAAACATTATAGTAGTATTTTTCTTCATTTTGTAATAATCAAATAAGATTTACATCTAAAAAATTTCAAACATGCCTTTATTTTCTGAAAGTACACTGATTTTAATCCAGAAATGTAAACATCTCTGGATCTGAAAATTCAGTATGTATATGGGGCTTAACAAACGATTTCCTTGACAGTAGATGCTTCATTACACTGAAAGGATCAGCGGTTCGCTTGTTTGTAACCTGGAGTTCAGAATTCAGAATAGGAGGGTTACAGGAGTGGTACTGCCTCAGGTCAGAGTTGAACAGTAATGGGCTGAACCCTTTATTAAAGACATACTGCTTCTTTGCTAAGCAGAATTAGGGCACAAGATACCATCATTGGGATTAGATGAGCAGTAACAGTTTTCCTGGGATGCCAAGGCTGAGGCACCTACAAGAGGACAATGCAAAAGGAGGAATAAAGGGTGTGGATTTCGAGGAATTTAAGGGCTACTGGTCTTAAAAGTTCAGAGGACCCACTCCTGTTGACAAGTATTTCTTTAAAACGGGCCCACAATCTTCATTAATGAACAGCAGTTAGTGTGACTCAATCCATGCAAATCAGTCTTTGTAAAAAAATCAGTTCTCATAAAGTAGTAGGTAGGTATACAATACTCTCCATTAATATAACTGGCTTTTGATATAACAGGAGAATTAAAAAGCTTTAGAAATACTGAGACAAACTTCTCACTCATGAGAGGCAATTATTGCGATTGTTATTCAACAGAAAAGTGGTATCATTGTGCTCATTAGTCTGTGTAGAGGAAGACAAGTTTTTTCCACAGTTGTTACTAAAATATAGTCTACATTGCAGGAATATATGGAAATACAACAGCAGCACATTAAGTCAGTCATGATGAACAGTTTATGCAAAGAGGTGCCAGGTTTGTTGCACCACATTTTGTATTTGTATGAAGAATATTCTTGCCTTAGTGGCTCACTGAAACAAGTTATGTTTTCATCATTAATTTACTCAGAATTTATTAGTGAACCCAAAGTTTCACTGGTCTTATTGAACTAAATTAGAGAGTAGCATATTGCTATTTTGGCCTGTAACAATTCAGCTATTCTTTTGCAAAGCACCTTAGTTTTTTTCATTCAATCTGTTTGTACTTGAGAACTTTAAAGTTTGGAAGAACAATTACTCCTTTTTTACTGTCCTACTGCCAGTATGGGTTTGTCGGTTTAATGTACTCCAGGTTGTATTATATAACATATACAGCACTATGAACAATCTTTCTAGGTCAATGAACTTTTTGCTATTAATTCAGAACAGGTAGGCATGTGACTGATAACCATACACATTCATTACTCTGTTATTAAAAAAATTCATTTTGTGAACATTTTTCAAAGAAAATCATCATTTGCATATCTAGGATTCATTTTTACACGGAATAGCATTAAGATCTGTTTCAAACTGCCCCCCAGGCATATTCAACTATACCAGAATGTGAAGCTACCATAAAACGTTAATAATCCTAGAAGAAATGGTTGGTATTGTTCCTGTCTCAGGTTTTAGAAGAGTGGCATTTCGCATTGAATAAGCATCTTTTATTTTGTTTAAAAAAAAAAATCATCAAGAATTTGCTTTTTTATTCTATTTAAAAAATTGGGAACAAACATTCCTTCACTCTGGGCCCTAGTAACCCAGTGTGCACAAAGAGGCAAAGGCACATACTGTTTCTCTACAGGGTCAACACTTTCCGCCAATAGCAAATCTCCCCTTATTGCAGACCTTAGAACTGGATTGCCATTTGGGCAAGTCAATCAAGAGGGCTTAGACAACAGCTGGGCAGATTTTAACGTGTTTATTTCTACAGTTTGTTTTTATTAAAAGTGTTGTGAAAAAGGAATCCTATAAATAGTAAAAAGAGGGAAACAATAGTGCTCCATAGCCTGAAGCAAATGGTGTAAATACATTTGTAAACAAGGTAAAGTTGCTGAGCTTATTAAAAGGACAAAAATAAAACTAATTACAGATAGCACAACTGTTTAAGAGGTTAGGAAGTATTTTGTCCCAAGTTTTGGTGTTCTAAAATGGCCAGCAGTACAGGTAATTCTTTATTCTGTAGCCTTGATCATCTGTGCCTTCTCTCTTCCTATAGAAAACCACACTGGATGAAGCAAACAGTGACTCTACTAATTCTGAGGGGTTTTGAGAACACTGCCACCAAAACACAGCTGGAACCACCAGCCTCCTGGAACATTAGAGCTCCTGAGAGAATTTGAAACAGTCATCAACATTTTTCTCTATTTTTGCAGGAAAATACTGGAAGTAAACAGGGGCATGGAATTCAACAGCTGGCTA